TGCGGAAGACTGGCAAAGCTGCTGGAGAAGGCGAAATCTGACCTGAGACCTTAAAAACATACGCATCTGTCCTCCGCATGATAAATTATTCTGAGTATTGTCGAGGAGAGTGCGCTCCTGGGAAAAAGCGACAAAACATCTTTTTCCGTTAGACTGCTAGATTTCCGATGGTCGGGCAGATTTAGAACACAACAATCCGATATAGTTTCGCTCTTTCTACAGATCAAGTTGAGAATTTTAATGGTTTTAAAATGGTATCAGAACTCCACTTGATCGACTCGTCATACTAATTCAACTGTCGAGACGAATGGGAAGAAGTCTGAAGACCAGATAGCATTGTCCCGTCTTGAAATTCAGTGCTTGGTTTATCGATGAAAGACCACTTACGTTGAAAGAGCTTCCTGAAACAAATTCCCTTGGAATCCCATCGACAATCAATCAGTGAAAGTCATTGAATGACTTTATATTGGTTGTTTATGTTAATTTTTATTCTTGCTTAATTTAGGATGAACCTTTTTTATCAGTCTTCAAAAAACTTTCCATAGAGCTCAAGACTGATCTCAATAATTTATTGCTCATGAGGAAAGGTACGGCTGTCCAACTAATGGATACCCCAGACTCTCTGCATATGAACTTGTACGAAATTTTGGGTATGGACGTGTTTTGTGTACTGGATTTTCATTTGTTATTGTAGAACTTGTTACTGCTTCTGAATACGCTGACCCACTTACTGAAGATGTTTCAGTTCCGAGAGACAAAATTAAGCTCAAATTCCAGACTAGCCACACGAAGCTTTCGAAGATTATTTCTCTAATCGTGCCTAAAGTATGTCTGTTTCTTCGTCATTAATGTAAGACGGGGTTTTTCACCTACAGTGTCACTAAAAACAAGTGTAAAGTTCTTGTTTCTGTTTCCATTCATAAAAATGATATGTTATTTACTGCCCAACGTATAAGTGCCTCGAAGCACTTTTAAGTGTAAGTGATTTCTGCAGGTGTAGAGAAGTTTTCGGATTTTCCTTTTAACTTTTTTTTTGTTATATAGTGTAAACGTGGAAATGAATGGAGCAGATGGTGAAGCAACGGGGGAGGGAAGGGTAGTGCAGGATGTTATCG